AGAGAAGCACGAGGCAAGGCGCTGAGATGTTTTCTATGTACAGCCCCCTGCCGGCCCCTCCCACCAGCCATTACTCCCTGCATTGTATAGAGAAGCACAGAGGCAGGGCGCTGAGATGTTTTCAGGAAGCTATGAACAGCCCCCTGCCGGCCCCTCCCACCTGCCATGATCTACCTGCATTGTATAGAGAAGCACAGAGACCCGGTGATGACATCACTGGGTATAAAATAGGCCCTGCAATGAAAACAGAAAGCTTTTATTTCATTAGAATGTTGGGGAAGAACCAAAATATAAACAGATTAAACATCAGCTTTAAAAAAAACTGGCGTAAGGGGCAGCCATTGGTGAGGCAGTTTAGAAACATGGAGCAGCTCTACCCTCTTGTCTCCCGCTGCTTGAACCTCGGTGCCTGGTAAAGCTTCCGCCAGAGCCTTCACTCAGCAATAGGTAAAAAACCGGCACTGGCAAAGGGATCTGTCTATTGCCATTGCTGACTGTGTACATGTTCCAGGTAAATGCCTCCGAAGGTTTTGAAGTGCCAGGCAACCGGAATTGGCAAAAGGAGAGGTCACCTGACATTATCTTGTATCAGAAGAGCCTTTGAAGCTGAACTCCAGACGAATAGCCAAATACACCGCTGACACGCAAATCTGAGAGCTGTGTTACATGGGATATGGAAGCCGAAGGCCTGTTAGAACACCTTTGCTGTCTGCAGGTAACAAGATAAAACGTCTCCAATTCGCACAGGAACACAAGGATTGGACAGTGGAGCATTGGAAAAAAGTCATGTGGTCCAATGAACCACGTTTCCAGTTGCATCATGCAGATGGCAGAGTGAGAATTTGGTGGGAACAGCATGAAAGCATGCACCCCACATGCATGAGTACAACCCTTCAAGCTGGTGGGGCAGTGTTATGGTTTGGGGCATGTTTTCCTGGCATGATTTGGGCCCTTTAATTTGTGTGGAACAACATCTGAATAGCACAACATACCAAAGTATCGTTGCTGATCAAGTTCATCCGATCATGCTGATGGCGTATCCCAATGGAGATGGCTTCTTCCAACAAGACAATGCGCCATGCCACGGTGCTCGTATTGTGCAGGAGTGGTTTATAGAACATGAGGGAGACTTTACCTTGCTTAGGTGGCCCCCACAATCACCAGATCTCAATCCAATTGAGCATTTGTGGGACGAAGCTGAAAGAGCCATCAGGCAGCTGGTTCCACAACCATCAAATCTCACAGAACTGGACAGTGCTATTCATCAGGCATGGTGTCAGATTCCTCACAGCACCTTTCCACATCTCGTGGAGTCAATGCCAAGAAGAATCGCCGCAGGATTGAAGGCAAAAGGTGGCCCAACGAAGTACTGATGGGGTGGTCATAATAATCTGGCCACTCAGTGTATATTAACGATGACAGAGCTGCTGTTATATCTGCCTGGGCTTCAGCTTTAAATAGCAAGTCAGTTTTCTTCACATCCTGTCTGAGGAGAAAACAGATGAAGGTTCTGAGTGTACAGTGTGCGCTGGCAGTGCGGACCACAACTGGCGCAGGTCCAGGGGCTGACTAAGCAAGGAAACCGCCATGAAATGGATCACAGGCAGGTCTCAGCTCCGGGCAGGAAATGACTCCAAATCACCGAGGAGCACACTTGTCCCCAGGCAGGAGCTCACATTGTACACACACACGTCCCCGCCAGGTGAATGCGCCGCGTGACGGAACCTCCCTATAATGATACATATCTTCATTCCTCCTTCTCCTGTATACTTTATATGTATCATGTATGACACACACATGTAACTCTATGTTCTCTCATAGATTCATCTCACAGACTGTCCAATGAGGTCCAGGACCTGCGCGGCCTGGTCTCATCCTTGGAACAGGTGAGTTTCATATTTCCAGGTTTAAAGTGACATTAAAGTCAGATTCCCCCTTCCCAATTCTGCTGTAGGGACTCCGGATGTCCCTCCAGCGCTGGGTGCAGGTCTCCGATCCAGCGCTGACTCCTCTGTCCTCTGTGCTGTCCATAGGTGACAACGCTTGTTCTGTAGTGCTGTCCATAGGTGACAACGCGTGTTCTGTAGTGCTGTACAAGAGTGACAATTCTTGTTCTGTAGTGCTGTCCATAGGTGACAACGTGTGTTCTGTAGTGCTGTACAAGGGTGACAACGCTTGTTCTATAGTGCTGACCATAGGTGACAACGTGTGTTCTGTAGTGCTGTACAAGGGTGACAACGCTTGTTCTATAGTGCTGACCATAGGTGACAACGTGTGTTCTGTAGTGCTGTACAAGGGTGACAACGCTTGTTCTATAGTGCTGACCATAGGTGACAACGCTTGTTCTGTAGTGTTGACCATAGGTGGCAACACTTGTTCTGTAGTCCTGTGCTAGGGTGACAACACTTGTTCTGTAGTCCTGTGCTAGGGTGACAACACTTGTTCTATAGTCCCATTCACCAACATATGGAAACAGAATGTTCCTGAATCCCAGTAATTCCTTGATAAGAGTCGGCTCCCTTATATCCTGCTGATTACAGGGCCCAGACTGGTCAATATGTGTGCCATAAGGCCATAGATCAGGGCTAGGCAACTCTAGCTGTGGTAAAACTACAAATCCCATCATGTCTGTGCCTCTGGGAGTCATGCCTGATGCTGTCAGAGTTTTGCAATGCCTCATGGGACTTGTAGTTTTAGCGCAGCTGGGGTCCCAAGGTTGCCTACCCCTTGGTTGTTGCTCTTACATTCCTTCCTTTCTCTCTACAGAAGCTGGACAGCACCCTCTCGGCTCTGCAGCGGCTCATCCCCATCAAGCTCTCCGAGATCCGCCAGGAAGAGGTGCAGGAATTCTGGGAGCGGATCCGCAGTTTGGACCGAGTGGACTTCTTAAGTGATCAGCTGATGTACATGGAAGAAAAGATGGGGGAGTGTAAGTCATAGTAGGGACTATTCTCCGCAGTGGGTGCCCCCGTTCTACCAGTTGCCATGGCTCACTTTAGGGATGCACCGATACTGGTTTTTCGGTATGGAGTACGATTATCGATACCGGTGCTTCTGCTGGCATGGAGACGGCTTCCTAATTGCCTGGGAAGCCGACTGCATGTTGTTTGGCCGCCTTGATTGTGATTGGCCATGAAACCAGCTTGCCAGCCAATCAGCATCGAGCCGGCTTCCCGGCCAATCAGGAGGCCAGACGATGAGTAATGACCCGCCTCCTTGCGGATGGGCAGAAAAGCCGGCTTCCCAGCCAATCAGTATCGAGCCGGCTGTTCTGTTTTTGGTGTGTATAGTTCTTCTGTAGCTCAGTTTTTTTTTTAATGTATTGTTCTTTGTATCTTTTTCTTTATTTTGTGTTATTATTATTATGTTATTTTTATTTTTGCATTCTTTACCTTTTTGTGTTATTATTTACTTGGTATTTCTGTGCTTTCAATTTTTTATTTTCCCTTTTTCCACTTTTTAAAAATCTTTTTTGTGAACATCAAACAATGAGGCTAATAAAAGGGTAACAACTGAATTAGTGGCCCAAAAATTGGCCTCCGGGGCCTATGGTCCAGCATTGTGCCAGACCCCACCCATGATACATCTTAGACCAGCCTTTGTCAACCTTTTTTAATGTTGGAGGCCATAAAATAATTGTAAGGAATAATAATGTGTGCAGATATGGAACCAGTGTTCTCTCACATTGGTGGTCAACAGAGAAATGCCAACATCCATTGATGGCCAGAGGAAAGGTTCTCAATTACAATGACATTAGAAAAGTGCTCCCTTACACTAGTGACCAGTAGAAAAGTGCCGACTTACACTGACGGCCAATGTGCCCTTACTTTGGTGGGCAGTGGAAAAGTGCGCCTTTACACTGGTGGCCAGAAGAAAAGTGCTCCCTTACACTAGTGGCCAGTAGAAAAGTGCTCCTTTACACTAGTGGCCAGTAGAAAAGTGGCCACTTACACTGGTGGTTGGTGCAGTGCTCCCCTAAACTGGTGGTCAATGGAGAGAATGGCTCCTTATAGCTGAACAGATCATTGGTGGTGAGTAGATGTTCCTCTGAGAGGTAGAAATGGCGCATAGCACAAGGAACCCCTAGAAACCTCTGAAGGCACCGCAGGGTTCCACGGACTCTGGATGGGAAAGGCTGTTAGACAAAACATTATTGTGCCGGATGGAAACCAATCTACCCAACAAGGCGGCCATATTGATTGTTGCTTCATCCTGTCTCCTCCCCCTCCCTCCCCTGTCATGTTGTCTGTGTCATACGACATTCAGTAACCGGTTCCACTTTTCTCTTGGCAGGTTCCTGTCGCGGCAATGACATAGAGATACCTGTAAATCTGAAACGCTAATCACACAGAGTTCCTCAAATTATTTATATTCCCCCCATGGACCAGTTTATTTATGTCCCCCGTCTCCTATTTATAACCCTGTTATTGCTTTTTTTTTTTGTCACGTTACAATAATCAATAATAAAAAAACTATTTCTGTATAAATCCCGGAGAGAATCTTTTCTTACTCCCTAATCAGACCTCAGGACTAGAATACAGGCGCCTACAGGACGTACCTCCTAGAACGGCGGTCGCCAACCTTTCGGACCTCATGGACCACTAAATTCATCATTTTAAATCCCGCGGACCACTAATATGAATTTTTAAAATATATATATACTCATATTTTTTGTTTCCTTATAAATATATTGTGATATGTGTGTGTGTGTATATACACTAAGTGGCCAGATTATTATGACCACCCCATCAGTACTTCGTTGGGCCACCTTTTGCCTTCAATACTGCGGCGATTCTTCTTGGCATTGACTCCACGAGATGACTTCGTTGGGCCGCCTCGTGACTCCACGAGATGTCGAAAGGTGATGTGAGGAATCTGACACTGCACTGTGGCCCTTCTGTTGTCTTGTACCAGTCTTGCCCCTCCCCCGTTCTGCCCTAACATTGACTAGTCGCTGACGGCCACAATTCGCACGTTCAGACCCAGATTTTCGGCTGACAGTCCGGTCTTTAAACACTTTAACAACAGCTGCTCTTGAACATTTAACGAATTCTGCTGTTTTGCTGATACTCGCTCCATGGCTCCGAGCGCCAACAATCATCCCACGTTCAAAGGCTGTTAAATCGCGTTGTTTACCCATATCTTCAGAAAAAAATCACTTCTACTGTCGTGGTAAACAACCTGCTTCCCTATTTATAATGGTCTGGCCCTCTAGCAACTTCAGCGCAAAATTATAGCTAATTTGCCTACAAACGTCAGGTGGTCATAATAATCTGGCCACTCAGTGTATATATATATACACACACAAACACACGAGAATATATTTATACATGAGGAGAGAAAAAAATATGAGAATATATTAGGGATGCACCGATACCACTTTTTTACGACCGAGTACGAGTACCGATACTTTTGATCAATTACTCGCCGATACCAATTACCGATACTTTTTCTTAAAGGGACAGGTCACATTTTTTCTAAAGCAATACAAACTAATGATTTAAGGTCAGTTTCTTAATATTATGATTCATGAGATGACGAGGGAGCATGGTGCTGCCTTTCTGGCCAATCAGAATGCCGGCGCTGCGTCATTACACGGCTTCCGGATTTGCTAGCTTCCTGACCAATTGGGAAGCCAGGCAGGGCGTCATTACACGCTACCTGGCTTCCTGATTGGCTGGGAAATCGGCTCCATGCTCTCTCATCACAAGTGACGAGAGATCATGGAGCCGTTTCCGGGTCAATCAGGAAACCGGGAAGCGTGTAATGATGCTCAGCCCGGCTTCCTGATACAGGAAGTACTCGTGCTAGGTATCGGAGCATTTGGACGAGTACGAGTACTCACCCAAATACTCGGTACCGATACCGATACTAGTATCGGTGCATCCCTAGAATATATCTATATATATTTTGCTTTATCAAATAATTTTTGGGGGTCTTATGTAACCTTCAGGCCTAAAATGTGCATGTGAAGAAAAAAAAAAAAAAGGCTCCGTCGGTGAAAGTTTTAAGAACAGCTTTCCACCGAATGTATTACATGGATCACTAATATATTTGTCATATTCATTTCCTTCTCTGTATCCCTGAATATTCCAGCATTCTTGTTGTATCCCTCTTCCTCATCTCAGACAGGCGCGGAGGTTTCTCTTCTTCATTCTTTCTTCTCAGGATTCCCCTTTATCACATTCCTGGCTCTCTTCATATTTTTTGCGTTCCTTTCTAGTTATATATTTGCCCCCATTGTATTCTATACCCTCCTACAGACTCTGTACACATGGATAGGACACAAGGCCTCTTTATTCTCTCGCTGTTCTCCAGCCTCTCTCCTCTCTCCCTCTTTCCTGCCTCTCACCCTCTCACCATGTGCTGGGCTGTGATAAGAATGAAATCAAGGAGTAGACAGACCCTTCCCTCCCTTCCTGAGATGGGGGAAGGCTGGGCGGTGGCCATGTAAGGTGCTGCTTACCATACACCACCCTTCCCTCCACTATAAACACAATAATCTGCAGGGAACAGAGGAAGTCTTCGTCATCCACTTCCCGCCGGCAGGTGCAAACACTTGTACAGAAACCCCTACATCTCACTCAGCAAGTCGAGCCGGCCGAGGATGCATTAACACAGTAAGAAAAAAAAATATCAGATATGGGTTCCCAAGACATGAAGGGTGGAGCTTATAGCTGAAGGGAATTAAAAAAGTTACCCTTGTAGTGTGGCTCCCCAATGGGCAATTTTTTAAAACACGTTAAAATAAAAGTTTAAGGCCTGAAGATTACTTAAAGTGACAGTAAACTCAGGAGTTAAATCTTAAATATACATTCAAGTCCCCGAACTAATAACAAAATGTATCTTATTTGTGTATCACTCGGCTGTAGATCCTCCAATCATCTCTGAATTGGTGCTGACACTGTCCTTCCTTCTGGAGGGGGGCTACTTTTCTTCCGCATGGTCCCTGTGTGTGTTGTAAAGTAGCCACCCCTCCAAGCTCGCTCCCGGGATGGACTACAATCTCAATACAAATTAGTAAACTAAACGTGAGATTTAAAAGAATCAGATATAAAAATATGACATGCATGACTTCCTGCTCAGCAAGAGTCTGGGGAGGGGGCATCATAGGGCCTGCTTTAACTAGCAAAGGATTTGAAACTCTGTGTAGCCAGTTCAGTGATCTCAGGACCCCTGCCAGACGGCTAGGGTTGCCCCCTGTCCAGCATTCACCCAGACAATCCGGGTTTTGAATGCTGTGTCCAGGTTTGATGGCAGCAGAAACCCGGATGTAAGATGTCAGGCAGACAGGGGCAACCAAAATTAAGATAGGGGCTGCTGGCCCCCCACTGAAAATAGTCTCAACTGTGATAGCTACATATGAACACGCCGCGACTCATTCTCCCCCCAAAAAATGTCAGCGCGTCGCTAGGGTGTTCGGGTTTCGCTTGAAAAAAAGGCGGCCACCCTAAAGACGGCACAGCCAGAACCTTAACCTGCACTACTGTAGAAGTTCAGCTTGGTAAAGAGCACAACCAAATCCTGTTGAATGGGCAGTGAACACGCTTCAGTACACGGATGAATCTTCACTCTGGTAGCTGTAGATATAGTCAGTCACACAAGAGCAGGTTCAGCAGATGATGGCTGTATTGTCTCAGTATAAAAGGCAGCAGGACATGGGTAGGCGAAAGTACAAATCACATTATGCCTCTAGACATCATGTCTGTGGCTGTCAGAGACTTGCAATGCCTCATGGGACTTGTAGTTCCACAGCTAGCTGGAGTGTGGAAGTTGCCTACCCCTGCAATGGAGGGTAACAACCACACCAGCGGGTGGCATGCAGCATTCAAAGTTTGAAGGGGTTTTAACCATTTGCTACACTATCCGAATCTAAATATAGATAATGTGTGTGTATGCTTTGTATATATATATAACTGAGCCTAGGGTGACGGGTGGACGCTAGTTTGTGCCCTCCCGTTACCCTAAGGAGAACTATGGGGAAAAGCCTTAATCCCATAGTTCTCCTTTAAGTTGAATTTGTATGCAAGTTGGAACAGGTACATTTTTTAAGTGTAACAGCAGCCCATTTTTTTGGTTTTGGATAGCATAGGGAAGGGTTAACCCCCCCCCTGTAAATTATTATTATACAGGATTTATATAGCGCCAATAGTTTGCGCAGCGTTTTACAATATAAGTTTGTTTTGCTGTGTATGTCCCTGTTCATAAGATTTCACCTCACTTTCTGTCCCTGTGACAATTGGATTGTGAAAATGCTGGGTTGTCGTGGAAACAAGGATTGGTGATAAAGCTTCAGTGGAGACACCTTTTCCCCATGTTCACTCTTACAGGAGTGAATTATCTTTCATAGGGGTAGATTTCCTTTCACTTGTCTCAAGGACAGGAAGTGAGATTAGATCTTTCTAATGAGGATACAGACGGCAGTAAAAACCTCACAGTGACCCGGAAGAAGAGCCGGGCACCCCTCGTCTGCACCTCTAACAAGAGCCAACTTCCTGTAATGTACGTACAGTACTACGAACCAGACCCACAAAGGTGGGCACTCCTCATTGGCACGAGCATAGTAGCATTACAACTACCCCTGCTGTACAGTAATATCCTCCGTTTGTAAGTAGGAGTCGTATGTAAGTCGATGTTGCAATAATCCAATATACAAATCACTGCAGAGTAAAATAGTTTAACTTCACGTGTCAATCCTGCAATGCTGGAGGTTTCCAAAGAAGCCCCCAAAGTACGGGCTACAGCAGGTTCTTATCACATTGTTACACTTGATCCCTTGGAAGGTATTTATCTAGGTCAGTACTGCCCTCTGCTGGAAATATAGAGGTAATGCATGACTGAGAAATAGATGGTCCCAGAAGATAGGGGGGAGGGGGGGTATTACTATAATGCTGCCATCTGTTGCAATAAACTTGTATTCAGTTTGGCAGCCGAGCTGGTAATTTAGTAATTCCAGACATCTTGTAAAGAATGTAATGAGTTTTCGTTTACTGCGATGCCCTACAAGAGCTAAAATGCCCATATAATTAAATGATGTATCCTACTGAGCATTGCAACAGGAAGTTGCAGCACAATGCCTTTCCTGAGCACACCGAAAATGTACTATGAAGATTAATTTCTGGAAGGAGGTTTCTGGTCAACTGTGATTTGGCAACACAGGGCACACATTAAACCCCAGCCCTGCGGAAACCGATATTCTAGTTATAGGAGGAGATGGACACTGTGCGGTCGTATCTGCTTGTAGCTTCTAGACTCTGATAAAGCCAACTTAAAGGATACATTCACTGCCTCAACAAATCACAAAATCAAGCCACACCCACCACCCTCCTCAACCACAATACATAGACCCCAGATTCTCTTAGATCAGGTGTAGGCAACCTGCGCACTCAAGATGTGGTGAAACTACAACTACCATCATGTCACTGGGAGTCATGCCTGTGGCCGTCAGAGTCTTACAGTGTCTATAATA